AACTTGGTTTCCGCCACTGTCACTGTGACCAGGATAGTATCTCCTTCCTTAATAAAGGAGATGCACTACATTAATTTAACACCCCAGCCGTGCTCACTGCCTCCACGTGGAAGTCCCCTTTTAGGTCCCCAAATAGGCCCAACTCCTTTTACCACCCTTTTACTGTTCATGTGCCTGTAGAAAATGTCAGTATTCCCCTTTATGTTAGCTACTAATCCTTTTTTATAATTGTTCTTTGCTGCTCTTAATTGCTTTTCCATCTGCTTTCTGAGCCTTCTGTTTTATTTTCTAGTTTACACCTGTCATAAGAATTATGTGTCAATTTCGTTTTAACCTCTAAATCACAAAGGCTTCTACATGAACAACATTAGTAAAAGGGTAATAATTAAGAACCAAAACTGGAACTTACACTTAAAAGACAAGAGACACAGCTGACTTTGCATCTGTCTTCATCAATAAGACAGATGCTGCACAGGCCATAGTGACAGAGCAGGAAACTCCACCATCAGAAAAGTTTAAAGCTGATAAGAGGTATTACCTCAGCATTTAAAGGTGATAGGGCACTAGGACCAGAGGCAATGCATCCAAAGACGTTAAAGGAAGAGACAGCAAAAATTGCAGAGACAGTGGCAATTATCTTTAAATCTTCTCTGGATTTGTTGGGACAAAGGATTTGAGAATTCCAAACATTTAAAAAACAGTTTAACTCTGGAGAAATTTCTAGAAACAATTATTCATGACAGAATTAATACTCATATGGAAAAATATGGATTGATTTGGTAAAGGGAGAATCATGTCTAATTAACTTGGGAGTTTTTCTGAACGGGTAAGAGGATTGATGAAGTGAAGGCTGTTGCTATGGTGTACAAGGACTTCCATCAGGCATACAATATAGTGCGACACAACAGCTTGGAGAGAAAAGTTATGGGTTATGGAACCAAAAGGACAGGGGCAACATGGATCCAATCTGGCTGAGGGCGAGGAACCACTAAGGTTTGTAGTGGAGTTCCCCAGTGGTCTGTATTGGGAACCTTGCTTTTCCTGCTATCAATGACTTGATCTTGGTATATAGTGAATAATTTCAAAGTTTGCAGACAACACAAAACTCAGGACAACTGTAACTTGAGACGAAGACAGTGTAGATCCTCAAAAGGATGTTTGACACATTGGTGGAGCAGGGGTTGGGGGAGATAGGTGGCAGATGAAGTTCAACATAGACAAACGAAGGGTGTTACATTTTGGTTAAAAAACCTGGAAAAACAGTATAAAGGGTACTATTCTAAAGAATGCAAAGGAGAAGACAAATCTGGGGGTACGTATTCAAAGTCAATAAAAGTGGAAGAACAGGTCGAGAGAACTATTAATAAAGCATAAAGTATTTTAGACTCCATGATTTGGGGCATTGAGGAAAAAAGCAAGCAGGTTACAAGATGAACTTTTATAAAAAAAGTGGTTGGACCTCAGCTGAAGCTGATAGTTGTGGGCACTAAACTATAGGAAGGTTGAGTGCATTGGAAAGAGTGCAGAAAAGATTAAACAGAATGGGTCCAGGGATGAGATATTTCAGCTACAAAGAAAGAATGGAGAGGTAGGCAATGGCCTAGTGGTATTATCACTAGACTATTAATCCAGACAGCCAGCTGATGTTCTGGGGACCTAGGTTCAAATCTCACCAGAGCAGATGGTGGAATTCGAATTTTTGAAAAATTCAGGAATTAAGAATCTACTGATCACCATGAAATCATTACCGATTGTTGGAAAACTGGACGATCACCTGGCATCGAACTAGGCAGCGGAAAAGACAACGGCAGAAACAGCCCTGTTGACCCAGCAAAGTCCTCCTCACTAAAATCTGGAGGTTAGTGCCAAAATTGGGACAGCTGTTTCAGAGACTAGTTAGACCTGACAGTCATACTCACGCAATCATACCTTACAGACAATGTCCCAGACACCACCATCACCATCCCTGGGTATGTCCTGTCCCACTGGTAGGACAGACCCAGTAGAAGTGGCGGCACATTGGTATACAGTTGGGAGGGTGTTGCTCTAGTAGTCCTCAACATTGACTCTGGACCCCATGAAGTCTCATGGCTTAAGGTTAAACATGGGTAAGGAAGCCTCCTGCTGATTACCAAATACCGTTCTCCCTCAGCTGATGAATCAGTACTCCTCAAAGTTGAACAACATTTAGAGGAAGGACTGAGGATGGTAAGGGAATAAAACGTACTCTGGGTGGGGGATTTCAATGTCCACCACCAAAAGCGGCTCGGCAGTAGTACTACTGATTGAGCTGGTTGGGTCTTAAAGGACATAGCTGCTAGACTGGGTCTGAGTCAGGTGGTGAGGGAACCAAGAGGGAAAAACATACCTGACCGCATCCTTACTCTTCTGCCAACTGCAGCTGCATCTGGACGTAACAGTATTGGTAAGAGTGACCATTGCACAGTCCTTGTGGAGATGCAGTCCTGCCTTCACATTGAGAACAACCTCCATCGTACTGTATGGCACTATCACCGTGCTAAATGGGACAGACTTCTCACAGATCTAGCAACTCAAGACTGGGCATCCATGAGATGCTGTGGGCCATTAACAGCACTGTACTCCAGCACAATCTCTAACCTCATGGCCTAGCACATCCCCCACTCAACTATTACCATCAAGCCACGAGATCAACCCTGGTTCAATGGAGAGTGCAGGAGGGCATGCCAGGAGCAGCACCAGGCATACCTGAAAAGGAGGTATCAACCTGGTGAAGCCAAACAGGACTACTTGCACACCAAACAGCGAAAGCAGCAAGTGATAGGCAAAACTAAGTGATCCCATAACCAGACCAGATCCAAGCACTGCAGTCCTGCCACATCCAGTCGTGATTGGTAGTGGACAATTAAACAACTCAGTGGAGGCGGAGGCTCCACAAATATCCCCCTCCTCAAATGATGGAAGAGCCCTGCACATCAGTGCAAAATATAAGGCTGAAGCGTTCGCAGCAATCTTCAGCCAGAAGTGCCGAGTGGATGATCCATCTTGGCCTCCTCCAGTGGTCCCCAGCATTACTGATACCATTCTTTAGCCAATTCAATTCACTCCACGTGATATCAAGAAACGGTTGGAGACACTGGATACTGCAAAGGCTACGGGCCCTGACAACACTTCAGCAATAGTGCCGAAGATTTGTGCTTCAGAACTTTTCACTCCCCTAGCCAAGCTGTTCCAGTACAGTTACAACACTGGTATCTACCTAACAATGTGGAAAATTGTCTGAATATGTTCTGTACACAAAAAGCAGGATAAATCCAACCCAGCTAATTACAGCCCCATCAGTCTACTCTCAATCATCAGTAAAGTGATGGAAGGTGTCATCAACAGTGCTATCAAGCAGCACCTGCTCAGAATAACTTCGTCAGGACACCCAGTTTGGGTTCTGCCAGGGACACTCAGCTCCAGATCTCATTACGGCCTTGGTTCAAACATGGACAAAAAAAAAAAGCTGAATTCCAGGAGGTGAGATGAGTGCAGCCCCAACAACACAAGAAGCCTGACACCATCCAGGACAAAACAGCCCGCTTGATTGGCACCACATCCACAAGCATCCACTCCCTCCACCACTGACACTCAGTAGTAGCAGTGTGTACTATCTACAAGATGCACTGCAGAAATTCAGACAGCACCTTCCAAACCCATGACCACTTCCATCGAGAAGGACAATGGGACATATGGGAACACCACCGCCTCCAAGTTCCCTTCCAGGTCAATCACCATTCTGACTTGGAAATATGTCCCCGTTCCTTCACTGTTGTTGGGTCAAAATCCTGGAATTCCCTCCCTAATAGCATTGTGGGTCAACCCACAGCAGGAGGACGGCTGCGGTTCAAGAAGGCAGCTCACCACCACTTTCTCAAGGGCGATGAGGGATGGGCAATAAATGTTGTCCAGTATGTGGCACTCATTCCATAAATAATTGTTAAAAATCACTTAATTTCGTAGCAGCTGCCTCAGAAGATCACAAATAAATGTAATAGCTACTACAGGGACAAAAACTTGGCCATGCATCATAAAACAGCCTTGTGACATCACAAGTTGAAGAAACACGTTCACATTTAGCATTAGTAATTAGAATACAGCTGGTGTTCCTAATTTGAGATCCTGTTGCCCAAAAGTAAAGCATCAAGACAAAACAAAAACTACCTAGGATTTAGTATAAACAGAATACCATAAATTTATGGAGCACTTAGCTTCCAGAAAGTCCTTAATGCTGTACACTAACTTGATTGATTTGAACAATAGTATGATAATACTAAGCTATGATGTAAATAATGCATGAAAGATAGATATATGCTATATTTACATTGAAAATTACGCAGACTATTGGTGCCTTATGCTTCTCAATTTTTTTTATCCTACTTTGCTTTCTCACCTTTATCTAATCCCAGGGCAGTGTGGTCTCTCAAAGGCTCTTTTGAATCTTTCGTATCCACCACCTATCCTAATAACGTTTACTTCCATCATCTCCTGTACTGCCATCCCATTCAATCTAAAGCATCTTGCCTTCTTTTGATTACTTTTGTGTTCTTCTTTACGGAGCCAACAGGGATGCCCCAATTGCCTCAGGCTTCCCCACACCGCTCCTTTATGATTCTCATTCTTCCCTTTCTCCCCACCTATCCATTGCAGTCTTCAACATTCATCTAACTGCAAAACAGATAACAATGAGGTAACACTGATAACTGTGCACATTGGCCTTCTTTAAGTCACTCACTTGAATCTCCCTTTGAAACATGCTGTTGTCTCATGTTTACTTCCTCTTAACCAGAGTACCAAACTCTCACATTCAAGTACATGGTTAAATGCCTCTTAAGCAGTACGGATATGGAAAACCGGGAGATACATGAAAACAGGAAAATCATTTCACAATCCAGCAAATAGATTTTGTGCAAAAAGCACCTCATAATTTGCTGTTGACTGAAAAATTTAATGAAAAAATTAATTACAGATTCACTTACCCTTTTTGAATTTGTGTACTGGAAGTTTTTTCAGCTGATCTTTACGCAACCGGTTCCTTCTTGCCCTGCGCCTGTCTTGAATAAATTTTGAAATCTAGAAAGCAAGAGATTGAAATATTTATTCTGGAATGTGTATACTAAGTTGAAACATCTTTTATTCTAGTAAAGGTGAAATTATGCCAACTTGATTAATCAATAAAACTCATAGGTTTCATATTCAAAGAAAAAGTCTTGAAAAAGAAACATCACATTCATGCGATAGTAGGAACTGCAGATGCTGGAGAATCTGCGATAACAAGGTGTAGAGCTGGATGAACACAGCAGGCCAAGCAGCATCAGAGGAGCAGGAAGGCTGACGTTTCGGGCCTAGACCA